CTACTACTAACTAACTAACGCCCAAGACAAACAGACAACCCAAAATTCGATCACTATATCCTATAAGGGTAGGAGTCAGGGAGGAAGGAGGGGTGAGGTTGATAGAGCGTGAGAGTGAGGAGAGACTTCAATGCCCCGTCAGGAATGAGAGACAGACACGCGAGAGATAACTGCTCAGGTAAGTCTCAGTGCTATTAGACCCCAGCCCAACCTAATATAATCGCCAGGATTAGGGCCCCGTCCCAATGAGTTCCAGTCCTGATAGACCCCAGTCCTAATGGGTGGTAATATAATGGACCACAATCAAGAGTACCCTACATCGTGAGGGTGAATGGGGGATACGGTAAAGATCAAACATAATGGGTGTATGGAAGGGGAGGAGGGAAGGAACGAGCAATGGAGAGAAACATGGGTGGGAGGGCAAATGGGAGGGGCAAGTAAGAATCCCCGATGCTGTGACAAGAATGGGGTAATCCTGGAGGGAGGGGTGGGGAAACACAACCTGGATTCTACACACCTTAACAGTAGATAATTGTGTCAGAGGAGCTGCGGCTTGGCATACTACTGGACAAAACCAACACACATGAACACAAAGGATAATTCCTAGCGGACAAATTCACATTGGACAATACTTCACGAGACAAAATTGCTTTGGACATGATTCTACTGGACAATTTCATCCAGGAAAAAAATCCTCTAGATAATATCCCACAAAACGAAATGTCGTTAAAGAATTTCCCAATGGACAAAATCCCAACAGACAAATTCTTACTGGACCAAATTTCATGTGATAATATTCCACTGACCATAATCCTTTCACAAACGTCAATAACAACATCCACCGTTAACCACAGAGGTTAAGTAAAATGCAGTATCTGTGTCACAATCTCACACAGAGTCATGAAAAAATTTTAACCACAGAACATTAAGAGGGAGTGTTCACAGGCTAAAAGAATTACGGGCGGGAGCTGCTCAGTGCCTTGGGGAACACCACCTCAACCACAAACCAGGATCATAAAGTGTTGCTGGGGGCCGTGTGGGTGTTAGCAGGAAGTAAGGTAACAGGAAATTGACACTCTAGGAAGGACTTGTATGTTTATGAGTGTATTTTGTTTATCAAGAACATCCACACAGGTACAGGTATAACTATAAGAATATATATAACTACAAGTGAAAATATAAGTACAGATACATTGTTAACAGATGCAAATACAGGCTTATAAAAAGGAACAGGTATTGACAAGTGTAGATACAAGTATGAGTACAGTTACAGATACAAGGAAATAAAGCGATACAGTTCGGTGTTACAGTACAGTAGTTGTAGTAGAGGATGAATACAAAAATATACCCTTGAGGAGCCGTTCATGCTATTGGTTCACATCTCCCAATCAAAACAACACACTGATTAACGATCTCTGTTCTGATTGGTTGATACACAGGATGTTACCGAGATTCCGCCTAAGACATAGAGACATAGCCTGTAGTTTGTCCCACCTGTTTACGAACTGACAGTAGGAGGGTCTCACACACACACACACGCGCGCGTTTTAATCCTCTTTACGCCTCCGTCTATCGTGAATGGTAATGCCTTTATTTCCCCCAATGTTTACATCTTGCAACACCAATACACTATATAAGGATCCTCTTAGTTCATTATCCCTCCAATAAACCCAAGACTGAGCTGGTATTATTGTGGTTGAGGACAATATAAACAGCTAATGACAGTCACCTCACGGATGCTAACTATGTGTCCATGAATCCCAGGGACGAACGCCATAATTAGCACCTCTTGCACCTCTAGTCCTGTTGGTGTTTCGTGTAAAACATGTCAACATAGATGACTGTTTTATTATTTCTGCGGACAATTACCATAACAATAACCTAATTTAACCTAACCTATAACAAGAGACAGAATACCTTACGTGCTAATTATTTACAGCCAACAATTCACACTTGTGTTATTAGCCTTGAGAGAGAAGGCCCTTACAAAACACTTCACACTCACACGTACGATCACTCCTCAAGGTGGGAAGTAAGAGTGTGGGTAAAGTGACTAATTTTCATAAGTAAACATTGTAAATAAAATTCTCCATTCATAGTATCATAAAACCAGTACATTATTTCAGGCCCAATTCAGTTCTTATCCTCGGGCAATGGAAGAAGGTCTCACAGAAATAGTAAAAGTAAGATTAACAGATATTTGATAATGATGAGTGATATTAATAGTTTAAACACAATATTGGTGTTTTTATTTTGCTCCAAGTGCCATTTATTAAGAACTGCTCATATGATATTCCTTTCTTACAAGATACAACTTATAACACTAACGATGCGGTCATGTGCCATACATACACTGTTTATATTATGTAATTAGGCTAAATATTACGAGATTCATGTGACTGTCAAAACGCTTCCTTCACTACAAAATCGATTATAGTAGTAGTGATAGTAGTAGTAGTAGTAGTAATAGTTTTAATAGTAATAGTAAATATATATAATGATAAAGGACTACCAGAGTCAGGTGTTGTTGTGGTGAAGAGACCAAGGGTACGAGTTAAGTCATGGGCATGAATTTGTGGACAAAACACTAGCAGATGTTGTTTACGTGTTTCAGAACTGGTAGCGAGCAACACACCCTATCAAAGAACGTCTAAGTTTATTAATATTAAATCACAGAGGACGTCAAGGTATTCCCGTAGTGGTAAAAAGCCCAGAGAGAGATAACAGTAATGTGTTAGAAATGGTATTGATAATTACAGGTTGCCTTCCAGGTTTATCCTTCGGTGTTAAGGTCGCCTCGGAGGACTACAACCATCTGTTACTCCTGCTTCCTGATACACACACACACACACACACACACACACACACACACACACACACACACACTTGTTATTGTCAGAGGTGTGTGTGTGTGTGTGCGTGTCATACTGTTTTATTCTGGAGAGTGTACTCGTCTTGCTATTTGACATTACATTTTTCAGTTTTCTTTAGTTTGTGCTCTACATATAGTAACAACAACAACAACAACACGCCAATTTTGATGACTAAGCACAATGCAACAATGACAACAGTGAAAACAAACAGCAACTTATTGTTATTGTCACCCGAGGAGCCACCACATTCACAGGTATAATGTATATATGACATTTATGTTGAATGATGTCGCCTGATGTAGTATTAAACATTTAGTGAATGTTGAATTGAGAATGTTGACGCTTCAAGAATACATCAAAACAACATCTTCAGGGTATGTTAATATTTAGATGTTCACCTGTGATTCCTACCCACACCTGTGATCTCTACCCACACCTGACACTTGTGGTACTCTTGACAGCTGTGGTATTCTAGCACCTGTGGTACTCTTGACAGCTGTGGTACTCTTGACAGCTGTGCCACTCTTGACAGGTATATGACACTCTTTGACACGCTAGGCACTCAGGAAAACTTTGATAACTTCATGGCACCTGATTACCTATTGTCGCCACTTATAACACTCCTGACGCATATAATTGCTTTCTTGCGTAACTCTTGTTTTGTTAACGTTGAGGTAAGGTGCCTCCTGGAGGGTGGACACGGGGATCCCCAGGAATGAACAGCTGGAACAAAAACTGGGCTCTGTGGAGGTTGACCGGCTGTGAAAGTTGTAAAAGTGAACTTATTTGACCTGATATTACCTCTACCACCGCTACTGTAACCTGTTGTGGTGGTGGGGGGCTGTAATAGGTACACACACACGTACACGACGACAGGCATACATTATATAAAAGCTCATTTATATACAACAACATTAATATAAAATACACATACGTACATACAAACAATAAAATGCATACTACACACACATACACACATACACACACCAAGATACAGACACAAACATTCGTATGTACACTATACCCACACATACCTGGGTGTATAAACTATCCTAGACTGTACGAACTCCTGTATACAGTATGACTCTTTTAATAGTGTATTGATGATATACAGTATACTCTCGTGAACACAACATATATACAGACACGAGGATGATAAAGTCGGATATACAAAACATCTCTGACACGGTGAATCATGTGAAGAACTACTGACTCTCGATACAGTCACTTCTGATTGGTTTATAACCCATCTTTACACAGAAACGTCACCCGGTCGATAACTTGTAGGCTTTTTCTCTAATATGTAAATAACTTCTTAATATTCAGTGTATATTTTTGTTGTTTGTTCATGTTTGATATGGACGTGAGAAAATAATTGTCCACAAAATCATGTAAACGTTGAGAATGTCAAGTTTGGCAGATGGAGTGGACAGATTAATTTAATTCATGTCTTGAAAATTGGTAGCCATTTGAATTCAGAAAATCTTGCTTCAAATTTCACAAGACCTTGGGACAGTGAGTATTATTTTCCTAACTTACTGTAGTACACACTTAACAAAACATAACGTCTTTTCTCACAGCTACAAGAGTGGAATAAATTACCCCAAAACAGTAAATCCTTCCAATATTATCAACAAATTAACAAAATGCGAACGAGACATTACTTACATGACAAATACAGCAAGTGAAGGGAGTTAATTTTTTCTACTAATTATCTTTGAAAGTAACCTGTACTGTGAAGGAAAAAATCCACTAGCCTCTGTTACTCTTAGTCACTGTGAATGTATTGGTTACCACATTAGTAACAACAAAGCGATGTGTGTATTGCAATCACCGGCCCACATAACGACCAAAATGGAAATAAGCTTCTAAGGGGCAGGGGGCGGGGAGGGGCTTTCTTGGGTTGACCATACACACTCCCTTATACTATTGTATCCTGATAGCTGTAAAATACGAACAAACACAAAGATTACCCACCTTTTTTTGTCCTTACTTTGTACGTATACATAAATGTCTCTTCAAGACGATATTAAATGCTTGATAAACGGCAATATTAACTCTGAAACACGATCCTCACTCATAATACACTTAGTAAAACACCAAACATAATCTTCATTTTGTTCTTACTATGTGCGTGTGTGACCGCGGCAGGAGAAGAGAATCCCGGGGTAGTTGGTGAGCTTGGACGAAAGTAACGAGCGACCGTCCACAGAGCACGAGAGTCAGACCACTAGTGATGCCCAGGTGTCTCCACTACCGCTCGACCACCTTTCACTTTCTCACCTGCAGCCAGGGAGACACCCACCCACTCCCTCACTCACTCACTCACGCGCTCTATCAGTCACGATAATACTGTAGTCTTGTAGAATGTTCACTACTATCTTTAATAATAATGCTTGCCCCTCGTGTGACGAGGATGGCCGGCCTTAGGGCCACCTAGGCGTTAATTTGTTTAAGGTGTAGAAGCTATCGCCAGTGTCAAGGAATAGTCCGAGAAGACCGGACAACTCGCCAACTGCTCTGGCTAACCATTACCCCGGAATATTATCCGCAAATCGATTAACATCCAGGTCCCCAATTACTGCTGAGTAGACAGAGGCAAATGGCGTAAAGAAACTTGCCCATAGTTTCTCCCTGTCCGGGGATCGAACCCGGGTCCACTCGCTTGCGAGGAGAGCATGCTGACCATTATACCACAGGTCGTCTTTGCTTTATTTAGGAGTATGAAGAAAAGAAAGAAAATGAAAAACGGAATAAAAAGAAGAAAATTTACGTTTGATAATTGTCAAAATGTTCTGTAAGTAACGAATAGAAGAATGGATAAGGCGATAGAGATGCAAGAGGAAGGAGAAGAAGTAGGAGAAATGAGAGAGAGAGAAATAAAAAAACAAGCTTAATATTCTTACCTGAACAATTGTTTTACTGTTTCGTTGAGTTGCCAAAAAATTTATTGTGGAAGACGAATGAAAAAGATGGAAGAGACTGAAGAGTTTTAACAACATTCATAGGACGTCAACAACAACAACAACAACAACAACAACAACGTGGTCTTGCTCTGAAGGTTATATGACACGGAAGAAGGAAGAGGAGGAGGAGGGTGAAAAGGAAGAGAGAGGAGAGGGGTGGAAAGACAGGTGTGGGAAATGGGGGAAGGGAGAGGAAACTGGACGGAATAGCGAGGATAAGAGAAGGAATGAGAAGGAAAGGAAGAGTAGGAAGGAAGAGTATGAACACATAGAAAAAGAGAAGCGATAAAGAACGGGAGGAAGAGAAGGAGGGAGAACAAAGAGGAATAGGAAAACAGAAGAGGAGGGACGGTTAACGATGGGGTTATACAAGGGAGGCGAGAAGGAGAGGAGGATGAAAGAGGGGGAACTGGTAAGAAAGTAAGAAGTAGAAGAGGAGGTAGGAGTAGGAGGAAGGAAGCAGGAGGTAGGAGTAGGAGGTAGGAGAGGAAACCTTCACCCAATCAAAACACAAGATCAGCTGATAAGAAAATATTTACCACAACACATCAAACACCTACAATTATTGATATAGGTCAGTCCTGGTGACCTATGGTGAACTGGTGACCTACGGTAACCTGGTGACCTACAGTGACCTGGTGACCTGTGTTATGACTCGTGTAACTATGTAGGCGATAATAAGGTTGGACAGATAGGGGGGTGGGGGTAGGATTGACCTGTAGTGTGTGTGATCTAGTAGTGTGATCTTACCTGTGGTGTGATCTTAACTGCAGTGTGATCTTGTAGTGTGATCTTACCTGTAGTGTGATCTTACCTGTAGTGTTATCTTAACTGTAGTGTGATCTTGTAGTGTGATCTTACCTGTAGTGTGATCTTACCTCTAGTGTTATCTTAACTGTAGTGAGATCTTACCCGTAGTGTTATCTTAACTGAAGTTAGATCTTACCTGTGGTGTGATCTTACCTGTAGTGTGATCTTAACTGTAGTGTGATCTTAACTGCAGTGTGATCTAACCTGTACTGTGATCTTGTAGTGAGATCTTGTAGTGTGATTTTACTAGCAGTGTGATCTTAACTGTAATGTGATCTTTCTTGTAGTGTGATCTTACCTGTAGTGTATTCTTACCTGGAGAGTGATCTTTACCACCCTAGTATGACCCTTTACTGCTAACATGACCTGGTATCTCCTGTATGACCTTGTAAACATAATCGATGCTGAGAGATTGGGGGTCACCCGAGTTGACCTTTGACACCATTACGGGCTCCTATCACCAACAGGTCCTTTACTACACACAGGAGGTCACCTACCTTGAGACTCTTGGCATCACTCTTGCCCCAGTGTACCCAGCCTAGTTCTGACCTCGTAAATTTTCCATATATAAACATTACATATAGCATAATATATAAACATATATAAAATATGAAAACATTGTATAGTGCATTACAACGATAAAATAAACGCGCACTGTGTAAGGCAATGTGCAGTATAAACACAGTGTGGAATGTATTTACACATGTAAACAATGTACCTGATATTCTGGGGCGCGGTCACAACAAGTGGGCCTCATCACCACACAATGGCTCCCAGTGCCACCTGAGAATATACGAGCGTCTACTGGGTGTTCTGCTGCACCTTGGTAGGGACCCAGTGACCAGGTGAGAGAGACCAACAGACAGACAGAGAGAGGGATGGTTTATGTAAGAGACGATTCCACCTTTTCCTAGGATGAACTAGAATATATATTTTTACCTAAAGTAGTTTAATATTCAAGCTGACGATGTCTCTACAGTATATGTATGGCCAAGGAAGATTGAATCCCTTGTGTACGGGCTCCCACCTGAGCTGGAAAATCGTCTGGCTTTAACCAAATACAATATCAAAAGTAGTATCCCTGTAGTGAAGGAGTTAAAAACCTGAATGCACTAAAAGAAATCATACCTGGTAGGCCTATATTTAATGTATTCAGCAAGACCAAGAATGTTCTGTTGTTAGAGTCGAGAGATCAAGGTCACCACTACAAGGCAGCATCCGGTGTGAGTTGACGCCTCCCTTGTCTCCAGTACAGTCTATATCTTGGATCAACTGCTGCAGCAAAGTCATTACATTGTGAAGGAAGCATTAGACTATGTTTCCTTCACACCTTAACACCAGTAAAGTAAAGCATTACTGAGACATTAACACGTTATCATGAGGTCACTTATAGGAGAAACACACTGTGATGAGTAAAAGCTTAGACAAAGGCTGATATAACTTGAGTGAACAGCTTGATGAAAATGTAAAGTCTTGCTAGAAGGGTTATGATATCTTATGTTTGACCTATAACATTACTTGTTACTGAGGCGTCTAATTACGATCATTACTGCACTGATCAAGAGCCGTTAGCGTAACTGTTATTCTTGCGAGATAACACTGAGAATCATGACCCGGAATACCAAGGTGGAGACTTGTAACATTTCTTGCCATACTGAAAAAGCATCAGTATGTACATTACATTCTTATAATAAATTCAAAAGGCCAGCATCACCCGAGGCACATTTATACATGGCTATATATAGACCCAGGATGAACAAAAAAATACTCATGAATTAAATAGGAAAAAAAAAAGAGTTTGCGAAGCCCACTTCAAACCCACCTGGGCGCAGAGTGTGGGTCAGGTCGAGAGGCGAGTTTAATAAAGCTAAAACTTGAGATAAATTATAAAATAAGAGACAGTTAGAATTTGGCTTGTTATGTAAGTAAGTCTTGTATGAGGATGACTTACTGGTCTTTATGTTAACAGTGTAATGTGACATAATTATGTACAATCGTGGATAAAAAGAACTCGACAGGCAGGGAGGGAGAGGGAGGTGGTGTATGGGAGGGTAGGGGGTATAGGTGGCGACTTTGCACTGTTTCATATAAGTGGTGATTAGAAGTCTGCGATTTTATTTACACAACAGAAAAAGAAATAGTTGAGGCAGGCACAGCTTACAGTCCCTTCCTGTCGAAGTATTTTTGTTCACAACTGTGCATATATTATTTTGAGTGACATCTGTTTACTGATTTCATCCTACAATTTCCGACTATTTTTGTCCACACGCGTAGCTGGACTGTTTGTATTAGGTTTAAGTTAAATAGATAAGGAGAAGGAATTAAGCCCAGCCCAAGTCGGCAACTTAACTAGGAAATGTTTGAAGTGAAACTTTTACTCTAAAGTTCAGTGTCCCTCAAAGTTTTCCGTATTAAGAGAAACCTTCAACACTGTTTCCTCTTTGTAATAATCAATAAAAACTAAGATGAACAGAACCAAAAATAGTAAATAAAAGAATCACACATAATGAAGAACAGCCTATCATAGTATATACAACAGATTGAGGAGTGGAAGCTACACTGAATAAAAAAATGGCTATTCTTGGCTGTAGTCTAAGATTTTGAAAACATGCAGACGACAACGTGACGTGACAAAAGTACGACTGCAGCGCCATCCTAATTCTGGACTACATAAAATGACGTCACTGTGCCTTGAGATCCCATCCAGCTAGTATTATTACTGACTATTTCACACTTATTCCTGTACCCAAGGGTGAAATTAACTCAGTGTTCGCTGCTTCAAATCAGATCCGAGAGATTCACTTCAGAGGATCAGGTGTCGTATTCGTGGTTTATTTTGGTGTCAGAAGTTAAACGCTTGTTGAACTTGCCTGTCAGTTGTATGATCAGTCCTGGTCATGCCGGGTGTTGTGTCTCAGCCTAGGACGTGACGGAGCAAACGTACTCGCACATCCTCCACTGATTCTGGAGGTGTAAGGGCAATGGCCTCATTTTCACAATCTGTTGACAAGGAGTGTCGAGTAATATCATGCCGAATTGATTATTAGAAGAGGAATGTGTGTCAACCATGTATGTATAGGTACAGTCAGCCAAAGATCCAGCGGCCCCACATAAGAAACATAAGAACATAAGAAAATAAGGAATCTGCAATAGGCCGGTTGGCCTGTGCATGGCAGCTCCTGTCGAGAGTTACTACCACTCTCTATCATCCATGAATCTATCTAGCCTCCTTTTAAAACTTTCCAGAGTTCCCGCACTTACTACAAAGTTGCTAAGCTTGTTCCACTCGTCCACCACCCTATTTGTGAACCAGTTCCTTCCTATCTCCCTCCTAAACCTAAACTTATCCAACTTAAATCCGTTGCTACGAGTCCTATCCTGCTCGGATATTATAAGAACTTTATCTATATCGCCTTTATTGATTCCTTTCACCCACTTAAATACTTCTATCATATCTCCCCGCACTCTTC